AATTTTTTAAAATAAGTATAAATTACTAAAACTGTTAAAAGTCTCACATAAACTTTTAGGATCAAAGTTTTAATTCTTTTTCTATATTAAAATATAATGATTTTAAGACCATATGAAGAAATAATTTTAGTTTATATATATTTCATATCGTTTTAATTAAACTATACATCTTATGAAAATACAAATTTATATTTTGATATTTGCATTGAATATATATTGAAAGTTAATATTTTAATTTTAAATATATCATTATTTTTTAAATGATTATAAGTTATTAAAATACTAAACATCTTACATTAGAAAAAAATCGTTGGTGTAAAGTTTTGTTACAAAAATATGCAAATAATCATAAAATCATAAGAGTAAAAACCTAATTTAATAAATATCCATATTAAAAGAGTGCTATATTACTATGTTTACATCATTTAAATAATTATATATCATATAAAATATAAAATAATTAATAAATATATAATACTTATTGTGCATAAAGTGCAGATCTTAACCTAAGTATGTATCTCTTTAATTATTTTAAATCTTAAGTATTTTCTAAATCCCTTGTCAAAAAACGAACGAAATGAGAATAAACTTCAAAATAAATATTTATATAGAGTAATAACTAAAATAAAAAAACACAACAACATAAAAAATTGAAGATAAATAAGACTGACACGTGAACATAAACTTCTCATAACCATAATTAATTTTTAAATTATTAAATTATGATATAAAACTGAGTTAATTTTTAATTTGTTAATTTTTTTAATTTTTTGAATCATTATGGTTATATTAAATCAGGACCATAATTAATTTTATATTGTTTATTTGTATTTGAAAAACTTGAAATATTGTTTTTAAAACGAATTTAAAATTTAACTTAATTTTTTCTAAAATTATATAAAAAATAATAATAATTTGTAAAAAATAATTTTCTAATATTATTAGGCAAATAAATAAATTATATTAAATTAGTTTTGAAACTTCATATATTTTAAATGCAAATATTTTACCAACTGCTTTTTAAGAAAGCATTAGGGAACTATTTTACCAATCAAGTCCAGTGACACTCCATTCATTTTCCGTCACTCGAACACTGAAAAGTGAAATGATATATGAAATTGGATCTATTAAATTCTAAACTTTGATCTACAGTTCTAATTACAATTGTTTCTGATACTACGTATAGATAATTATATAAAAATTTCAAAATTTTTAAATTTCAAATACATATAAAAATAATTATATGTAAATTTTAAATTTGTCAATGCTAACATTTTATATTTTAATTATATACATTCACTCTGCGTAAGACGCATGTTTTATCCTAGTGTCCATTAATAAAGATGACATGACTGAGTATTAATTGTGACAAGAAAATTTACATTTAATGTTAATTAAATTTTATGTTTTAAAATATGGTATTAACTCATAAATTATTAATATAACAATAAATATATATTAGTATAAATAGAAACATATATAATAATATTTATAATTTGTGATAGTGTTTGAATTTATTTTTTATACTTATATAATTTTTATTAATAATTTTTTTCCAAAGTTTTATGCAAATTTTTAAAAATTTAAATTTTCTAATCTCAAAACCGTCAGTTTATTTATATCATCTATAAATTTTAGAAAATATTATTCAATTTTATATTTTGATAATTATATACGTAAAAAAATTTTCTTTTAATTGATATAATCCTATGTAACATATTTTAACCAAAAGAAAAAGATAAAAAAAGTTTCCAAGAATATAACTTTAAAATATATAGTTATATATTATTAAATATAAATATAATAAAATTTATTTATTTTATCTTAATTTTACATATAGTTAACATAAAATTAATAATGTAAAGTGAAATTTTATTCTTAAAACTCTTATTTCTGCACATGGTGCAGGGAGAAAACACCTAATTCATACTGTCATCGCATGAATCTTAATGTAAATAAACATTACACAATCTTATTGATTATTATATTATTAGACTCCTTCGGTTTTATGTACGTAGTCATGTCTATTATTAGATACCTGATTGATTATTTTACTAAACACAGTTAACCTATACCAAACAAACATATAAAAATAAATACATCGATCCGGCCGTCTCATACTGATACACAGTGATACCTATTCATTTCGAAGCAATCACGAAAGAAATCTGTAGACCTAATTAACTCAAAAAATCCCCTCACGATTTGATTGTAATCGAGATCACCTCTTGCTGCAACACATACATCAATTAGCTTCATTGTTTCAAAACTACACGTACGTAATTAATTTGTTTTTCATTTATCTGATGTTATTTTTTTCTTTTTAACAGAGATGATCAATGGATTTTATGTAAAAAAAATAATCAAAAAGTGAGTTTTGTTAATCTGTGTTGGTGTTTCGATTCAGATGGAGATTGGTTTGGAACCAAAGGATGCAGTTGATTGGTCATATAGAGGCGAAGGTGCTGTTAATTTGGTTCTGGCTTACACTGGATCCTCTCCCTCTTTTGTTAGTCTCTTCGATCTCTCTCCCTTTTTTTTTATAATCTGTTCTTGATTTGTGTCATCTTGTGATTGGAAAAAAAATAGTAGTAAATTAACATTGATATTCTACATTGTTTTCTCTTCATTGGTGTTATTTATAAAGTTGGGAAAGATGATGAGAATACAAAAAATGCCAAATGATGGAAAAGAAGAAAATGGAAACACAAGTGGAAATGGTCTCACGTCTCATGAAAAGGTTATATGGGGAGAGTGTAAAGAACTTGTTTCTTGCCAGAACAAGGAAGTTGTGGAGTTTTTGTTTGTCAAACATGTAATGAGACCTTTGTTGGGTCATAAACATGTCAATCCTGGAGTATGTTCCCTCTCTCTCTTGTCATCATAATATGGATTATTTTGTTTTGTATTTAGGATATTTAAAAGCGTTTTTGCTATGTCTCTAGAGGTCTTCTTATTGATTTTTTTTTGTGTATGTAGATGCGTCTTCTTGTAGCAAAGGAGTTTCTTGAGTCTGTTGAGAACATTGTAACATCTCAACGACCTTCTTGGCGTGCTGATGCAGCCAGTGTTGATACTAACCGCAATTCCGTACTTCTCATGGATGATTTGACACTTTTCGCTCACGGTAATTCATTTTGTTCATGTTTTTTTTTGAGGGGTTTATAGATATATGTCACGTTAGTGATCTCATCTACTTTCAGGTCGTGTTGAGGATAAACCATGCTTAAGCGTTGAAATAAAGGTGTTCTTGATCATTACCATGTCCTCTTCTTTTTTTCTATTGAATGCTTTTTTGAGCTAATATACATTGCATGTTTGCTCTGATTAAGTAGCCAAAATGTGGATTCCTTCCATCTTCAAGTTTCATAGCACAAGAAAATGTTATCAAGAAGAGTATAACTCGTTTTGAGATGCACCAAGTTCTGAAACTTCAAGATAATGAGGTAATTCTCCTCCGAATCTGAGATTTAAGAGATCATAAACATTTTAGATTAATTTTAATAATTATTATTTTGACAGTTTAAAGATCATATGATCTATGTATAATAGTTGTTTAAAATTTAAGAGGCGAATGTTTCATCTGGCTATGTCGGTCATATGCTTAACATTTTTAAAAGTTGTGTTGCAGATCTCAGAGATCAGTGAATATAATCCCTTAGACCTATTCTCTGGATCTAAAGATAGAATACACAAAGCAATAAGAGCTCTCTACGCAACTCCACAGAACAACTTCCGTGTCTTCTTGAACGGTTCTCTTGTATTTGGAGGCTTAGGTGGTGGCATATGTAAAACAACCTCAAAGGTTGAACAAGATTTTGAGCATCTACTCAAAGATATCATCAAGACCACTGATGATGGCTTACGTGCAAATCATTTCATAGAGCTTGTTGCTGAAACTGTTTACACCTCTGGAGTTCTTGATCATCTCCTAGACGTTCAAAAGCTAGACAAGTATAACATCGAAGGAGCGATTCACGTGTACTATGACCTCATTAACCAGCCATGCAAAGTGTGTAAAGAGTTGGAGAAGAGTACAACAACATCATCAAGAACTCAGTTTAGTTCTATGCATTCGATTCCGATGGATGAGAAAGTGAATCTTTTGAAGGAGTTCTTGATATCTGCCACTGCAAAAGATTGTAGTGTAATGATAAGCTTTAGATCAACAAATGATGTGATCTCAAGATCCTCTTCTCATAGTAATCTGCATCTTGAATCAGCAAAGCAAGAATTTGATTACAAGGTAAAGTTTTGTTTTACATGCAGATACTTAGTTTTTTTAGCTTTGTTGAATCTTTTGAGGTCTATGTTGGTAGGTACATTTCATTGATCTTGATATGAGACCGTTGAAGAAAATGGAAGTGTATTATGAATTAGACAAGAAGATCATGAACACATACTTGGAGATGATGAAAAAGAAAGAAGCATTGGGAGAAAGAAGAAGAGATCATAAGCCTCAGTGAGATTTAAATTTCATTATCTCTCATAGAAAATGCTTACAAAACTCCTACTGTTTTTCACTACTATCAACATATAAGGTGCATTATTTATCAAATGTTTCCACCCAAATATACATTTTCTTTAATTTATTTTCTCTCAAAGAACAAACAAAACATCAATGAGGAAGATGATATGTTCCAGTGGAGAATCAATCACTCTCTACATCTCCATACATTGCCTAAGCTAAAACACCCTTGAGGTTGAACTCTTCTTCCTCTTCTGTGCTTCTTTTCTCTTTTCTTTTGACTCCTAAACTTAGTTTTAATTGCGTGGACGAGCTTCCCAAAGAGAACTTAGAGCACGAAGCATATGGAAGTACTCTCCTAAAGCAAGCAAGCCACGAGCAGCTTGTCTTGTTGTCAAGATCTTACTCATTTGCTGCAGCGTCTGCTTTCTCAGATGATCCGCCTATTCCAATAGAGAGACTCAGACAGTGTTCAAATGTCTTATGCAGACAGAGAAAGAGACACAAGACCCTTTGTAAAGTGTTATATGGTTCACAAAACCCTCCAAGGACTGAAGATTCTCCATGGCTGAAGCCATTTGAGCTCAATGTCGCTGATGTGTGCTTGTAGCGCTGTTCTAATCTCGCTAACTCTCTTGTTCTGTTCTTCTAGCCAGTGTTTGTGTTCCATCTCAAATGCAGCGATTCCTGTGTTCATGGTCCCAGCTGGTCCTAGATAACTAGTATCTGATGGATTGCGTACGCATAGTCCCTGTTGTCTAGCTCTTGCAAGTTCCTGCTCGAGCTGTGATAGCTTTAACCTGCTTTCTTCTAACTGCTGAACATGTGCCTAAAGACATAGACACATAAGCTTTTTTTTAACTTCATTAACACAAAGAAAGGATCTAACAAGGGAGAGCTTTGTTACCTTCTTTCTCAAACGACTTTTGCGAGCAGCCTCTCTGTTCTGAGCTAATCTCCTTTTCATCTGTGCATACTTAAATGAAAAAAAAACCACAATTAATGTCATATCACAGAACGTTCTCATTTATCATTTCCAAAACTTGATTACCTTATCATTGATAGGAACATCGTCCTGATCATTGTTACTAGAAGGTTCTGCTTCAACAGAATTATTATACAAACAAGTATAATTTCCCTGCGCGTATTTTGTTAACAGCTAATTAAACAAACAAAAGTAACCAAGTTCTGAACATGAATCAGGAAAGAATCTCACCTTATTGTTATCATTTGCTTCTGTTCTAGCAGCATCCACCTCATGAACTATGGAAGTACTCTGATTGTTATTATTAGTAATAGTGTTGAAAGTGTTTTCCCAACCAGACAACTGTTGGAATGGTTCATACATCCCCATGTCTCTGAATGCTACAGCTTGTGTGGTAGTAGAAGATGAAGAAGAGCTCATCATCTGTAAAACCAATAATTATAAGCTCAAGCTTATAGAATTACATTAACAAGCTCTTCAGAACGTTTCTCAACTAATTTTAGCTTTTAGCTATTAAAGGTTTGAGACTTTTAAACAACGATAAGGCCAAAACTCCTCAAATATTGAGTCTGGTAAGAAAACTAGCCAAATAAAGCAATACCCATAATTATAAACTTGACCAAAAGAAAGACATGAAACGCGTTCTTGAGAGTATATTTCGTTTCAAGAGAGAAGAGAAATGACTGACACTTTGGTCAAGACTTTGAGGTGAAGCCGTACACATCCATCTAAAGCAGAAAAAAAAAAGCAAAGATATTTCTTTTTTTTGCTCTCTTTTTTTCTTTGTTTTGATTAGTTCATGGATCGTAGATTAAGAAAAACCAAGTTGTAAAGTAAACGAACGATGAAATGAACGACACCACAGTGAGAAAACACATCGAGTGAGAAAGAAAAGTCCAAAAGTCTTTAACATGCGCTCGTACGTCTAAAATACGAGTTAGATGACGTCACTCACACCAGTGAAGCCTACGCTCATCGTAGGCTGACACGTCACTGCTCGTGGGAATATTCCCAGCCGGCAACCTTCGTAATTATTCGTTTCTTAACTATTAGTACTACTGTTTTGTCCAAAAAAACACTATTAGTACTACTGTATATAGAATCTGAATCGCAGACATTTCTTTTTGGAATTTCTCTTCAAATTTCGTTTCTATTTATTATACTCAACAATTGACATATAATTCACAGTATAGGAAAAATTTAATTAGATTTATATTTGTAATAAAATTTAAAATAGATTTGTGGACTACAACGCAAAGGGTGCAAGATTAATGCTTTATTAAATTGTTTATTCACTCTAAATGTGAACGGGGTATCCAATTTTAATGCAGCGTCATCTTTTAAGTACCACTCCTAGGCTTAATGTGAATTAATTGGGCCTTTAGTGACCTACCCAACTCTTAAAGATAACATTTTTAATATATTCTTCCTATTTTTTTGCCTAATCAACGATTAATCTTTAACTAGATTGGCACACCACTTGGCTAATAAAATCTGTGTTTCGACAGAGATAAGCATGCTTTATTTCCCAGTATACTTTTGGTTTTGCTTTAATAAAGGACTCATATATAGTTTTCAATCCTATTATAAGATCCATCATTCGTATTGGTTGATGACATGCTAACTAAAGTGAACATGTTTCTTCTAGAATAACGTTTTACTTAACTTTACTGTAACATTAGGTCTTCGACATGAAAAACGATCTATTTATCTTTTAAAATCCGAATCAAAAGTAATTCATATTTCATAATTCGATGAGTGTACGGCAGCCACAACAAAGGTAAGAAAAAGAAATATATAACCCAACCAAGTATGAAGCTGTTCAAGTGCAAAGCAAAAGCCTAAAGAGTGAAGCTGGCTTTAGCTATAAAGCCCATAAGATTGGTTGATATTCTCGTGTAGCAAGTGCACATGTGAAAGGCAAGGCAAGATCAAGAATCAAGATGACTGAAACCTCGTGCTTATGTGCCGTGTCCTAGTCCTAGGCTCGACGTTCCGTAACTTACACGATGATTGAAACTACAGTGTCACTTTCCAGAACAATATACTATATGGTATTTTAAGGCTACAATATATGCGCCAAGTCTTAACACTCAGTCATTAGCTATAGAAATTTTATTCTTTTCTGAATAGTAGTTATTAGTTAGTGGACATGATTTCATTCCTTTTATATACATCATTAGCGTTGAAAATGAATTTCGACGTCATCAGATGACGATAATGGTGTATACGTAAACAGTATGTTACCGTCACTAACATTTGAGAAATTAATACATGTTTGTTTTTTGTTTCCTTATAGGAACGAAAAATTATCATGGGCTATAGAAGAATTTAAGAAAATCTCACCGCTTTACAAACCCTCACCTAAAATTTCGTAAATAGAATCACAGTAGACATCATCAAACATAAAGCAGAAAAAATAAAGTAAACACACAAAATATACATAAAGTTTTTTATTCCTTAGATTAGTTTTGGATGTGACCGTCGATTTATTCTATAGTTATAAGATCACAAACTTTAGCCGAGCTTTTCTTGATACTCAGCTTTCCGAAGAACCACCGGCTATATCCTCCACCGTTGTCTTCGTTTCCACCACCGACGGTTGTGGCTGTGCTTGCCGTTAAAGTCTTCATGTTCTCTCTATGAAACTTCCTCGCCGTGTAAGCCTCCGCCATAGCCATCCCTCCTAGTCCATCTAGCGACATGTTTGCTTAATCTAGAAAATAAAAAATCACAGGAGAATTTTAATAGATCTTCTTTTGGAGAAAATAAAAGTTAAAAATATGAAAAGAGATGATAAAAAGTAAAATAATTTGGTGAAAGACGAGTGTTGTTTGGTATTTAGGGGGAGGGGTTGGGATGAATATATAGATAAATCTGTGGGTCCGTTTTTGAAAATAATGTTTGCCTATCTTTCCCACTTGTTATGAGTACGTATAGTGGCGAATCTACTACATTAATGTTATTGTTGCGTTCATTTCTAGTATAGTGTCTCCACCCTCCAGTGTCATTCCTCTATCACGAGCAGATAGACAAATACAGTTTTACTTCTAATTAGTTAAAGCAAAATATGTTACGACGTCTTTGTTGATCGGTCAAAATCTGATTAAAAACCATTAAACCCATAGATTAACCGCAACTGGTTTGTTATGATGACCCGCTTCACAACTTTAGCTAGGATCATGTATAAATCCATGATTATTATTCAGCTACAAAAATCATGTGTATATATAGTCATACTGATACAGATCAAATGTGTTTTTTTGTTTGTTGAACTGCATGTTATCTATCAACAGTAAAGATTTGTCCGACAACATATACGATAATCTTTCATTAAAATAAAAAAAAACTTAAAACGGTGGTCATATATTAAACAAACGAAAAATACGGATTTGATGCAAATCCACGATAGATTTGGATATGATTACACCCACTTTGTACTACATATAATGCAAAAAATTAGTAGTTTATATATTAAAACAAAAAGTAGCGTATTTACGTTATTTATTGTTATCTAGAGAGACTTTTGTAATTAAATAACTTCATAAAGACAAAGCATTAAGCATCGCACTAATCTTGTTTATATATTACACCTGGTAGGATTGTCTAAGTAATGAACATAGTCCGTCTCATGGCCACCGTTCGTAATCCATATAAAGTGACATATAATACACCGAGAATACTGCACATAGCGTTTTAATTAGTTAGATAATTAAGAGTTTATTTAATTAGTATTACACACTTAATGAGCCGTGTTCGATGTAACTATTAGAACTATAATTAAAACAGTAATAAGATAATAAGTAGTGTTGAAAATAGTAAAAAGAAGGTTATGGTGATTAAAAAAAAATACAAAATGTTGAAATTAATAAAACAGATAATTTTAATACCATAATTATCATTGTCAAATCCCTTTAATTTCTTTATTTTATTTATATTACCTACTGCCCATTGGCAATCTGAGTGTTAGTGGGTCGTTATCAATAAACTACTAATAAACTTTATCAGATATTTTGGACGAAAGTTACATATATATAATGGATCGCAATAACACAGGACGTTATACTCAAGTACAATAGAAAATAAGGAGGGAGACTAATGATAATGCGTTTGTTCTTTTGATTCCTAGATTTTAAGAATTGACTTTTTTAGTGTTTTTGGTCCCATATACGAACTACAAACAATATAAAAGTAAGCAATAAACATTTAGAAGTATTTATACTAGCAAACTGTTGTTTGTCTTTTACAGAATATAAATCTAATGTATTTTCTGTCAATCAAATTTATTTAACACAAACTTGAAAAAGCAAGAAGGATGAAATATTTAGCACGTAGACACAACAATATCTCCTGACACTAAAATCCACACATGGGAAACAAATATAAAACTAATTAAAGGATCAAAAACCTTCGATCAAACCAAAACTCAACTCAAATGGAGCATGCTTTTCTACTTATCCTTTATCAAAAAACAGATTAATCCGGTAAAACTATAACTTCAACTAATCTACCTGCGACTTCTGCAAGGACCTCTAGGGTCGAGAACTTGTTGGGATACAATCCAAGTCCCACATCGGAAGTTTAGACAGAAAGTGTCTAATATATAAGTAGTGTCCAACTCTGATTAGTATAAGGCCTTTTGGGAAGGAATCCAAAAACAAATCCGTGCGGGTTTTGTCTCTTGGGTCCAAAGCGGACAATATCATACTATGGACAGAGTTGGACATGGGCTTTAGAAAAGCACCACCGTGGTATCAGAGCCTAGGTTGGAAAAAGTGGACTTAGAAAAGTGGGTTGGGCCTACATGTTCGTTGTGAGAGGAAGTTCCTCAAAGTGACTTTGCGATAAAGGGGTGCCGGAGGCTTGTGTCGAAATCTTCTTAAGGGTTAAGTGAAGAGTTCTGTTGGTGAGTACAGCGGTACAAGATGGTACCAGGTTTCGCAAGGAGGTTGAAGCCAAGGAGTTATGTGGTCCTTGGTTTGAAGGGGAGATTGTTGGGATACAATCCAAGTCTCACATCGGAAGTTTAGACAGAAAGTGTCTAATATATAAGTAGTGTCCAACTCTGATTAGTATGAGGCCTTTTGGGAAGGAACCCAAAAACAAATCCGTGCGGGCTTTGTCTTTTGGGCCCAAAACGGACAATATCATACTATGCACAGAGTTGGACATGGGCTTTAGAAAAGCGCCACAGAACTCGAGCTATAAAGAATGAGGAATCACCTCGAAGGAATGGCTAGCTTCATCAAATATCTATTGTTTTATGATGGTGTTTTATCACAAGATGTTATCCAAGATTTGCCAATCCTAAAACTAAAAGTGACTGAACCAAACAAGTCCTACATGCAATTTTTTTTTCTAACAACAATATATGCAAGTTTATTTCTTTATTAATGTTACCACAATTCATAGTTTAATTTCTTTTACTCTTAATTTTTCTTTTTTTTTAATTTACGAAAAACGTTGTTGTAAGATTAGTGACCTCTGGATTTCAACCTATATAATTATAAACTTAACTAGTTTGGGTCTAGGCCCAAAAGAACCTGGAGGCTGGTATTATTCGAAGTCGGCGTCATCGAGCTACGCAGTGGTAAAGCGAAAATAGCTTAGCTGTGTGATTCGGGGAAAAAAAGAAGGCTACTCGATCTAGATATAATTGCAAGTCCCAGTCAAAATATTAAGGTAACCGTCAGTTGGATACCGTTTGGATTACCTTGGCATAACTCGTTTAAGTAATGAAATGAAGCTTTCCATGAACCCATAAAGCAAATAAGGAGATTCTGAACCTGTCTCATAAATAGGGACTTCACCTATAACAACTTATTAAATATCGTTCTTTTGATCCTACACTTTTATCTTCATATTCTCACACAAAGTCGAGGGTGCGTTGATATTAAAAGATCCATAAGGTTAATCCTTGTTCTGTTTTGTGCCTGTTTTGTGCCACTAATGTGCTCTTTCCTTTATTTTGTTGTACATAATCTCTTTATAAATGCTTAAGATTATTAACCAATCTTTCACGACAACTAATAACCTTGTTTCAATGACGTACACGTGAGAACAAACATGAAACCAGTCTTAACATTTAGACCAAAAAAAAAAAGAAAAACATGAAACCAGTATCTTGTTAAATCATAGAACACAAACGCTCACGGTTTATATAAAAGGACAAAAAATAGTAGGAACAAAGACACTCTTGTGTGTTCAAAAGGAAACTTTGAAAGGGCCACATTTTGCATGAATGATGAACATTCTAGTTAAAGTCTTGGTCCTTGCTCTGATTTTAGGAACACTTTAGTACAATATACTCATCAGTACCACATGGAATTATTCATATTCACACCTTACACATTTCCCATCATCTACACAAAGGTATGTCTAGTTTTTTACCTTTTATTTTCGGTCAAAAAAAATCATCTTTTTATTTTCTGATGTAGTTAAGAAAAAGTGTAAGGTAGAGATAATGATAACGATGTCATAGAGCTGTGGAGAGCAGTCTTAGTAGAACGATAAGGGGCCGACCTTTGATTTATATATTGAGATAGGTCCACCCAAAACCATAGAACTAATTATGACATTTTCAATTTATTCTGTATTTAAGAGTAAACTCTCCTAAAAGAAACTTTGACTACTCATTTAAACATAAAATCACACCAAAAGTTCAATACCTATTAGCCTAATGAGCCAAGTACATCCTCTATCCATAAACCCCTACCTATTAACCAAGTTAACCAATTACCTTCTCTATCCATTAAACCGTTACCTGTTAACCTATTTAACCAAGTACCTCCTCTATCCATAATCCCTAAGACCCTAAGAGGTAATGCAATTATTAACTGGGAGAAGTTTCTGTATCTTTCTCGGTTTGGTTAGAAACTCATTACCATTTACTAATCAATAACGATAACAGTTAGCTTTTAAGTCATCAGTTGGATCATATATTTTTCTGTTTGGATGTACAAAGAATAAACATAACAAGTTATGAACAACGAAGATCATTTCTAACAATGTTGCACTTACTTTGACAAATCTGGCTTTTCTTGCTTTTGCCTACGTCTGATGATGCAATGTGTTATTGATTGAGTCGAGGTGAGTACAACAACAACTACTACAAAAATAGAAGCAGACATGCTTTTGGTTAAGTAATAACTTTTATTTATTTTTAAATGTTACCAACCTTAAGCAGCACACTTGTCTCTACAACTTGATGTCTTTATGAAATTACAGCTGTCTCTCCTTGATATGACTTGTTCTGCCACTTCCTTCTCCCTCTTCTAATAATTACCCTTCTCTATTTCTCCACAAAATGTCTGATGTATTTATATCAATAATATCTGACTGATATAATCTGCATATAGATAGATTATAGATATAAATACCTTAAGAAGAGTTCAGTTCATGCATTTTGTTGGTTACTACTTCCTACACTTCTCCTTTACTTCTAAGTATTTCTTCGGTTAGAGTAGAAGTAACGGTATTGATCTATTACTTCCAAACCAAGTTTATAGCTTTCCTACGGGTACTGTTTTGTAATTGTATTTATAAATACTTGTCGTGTACATGGATAAGACACTTAAATCATCACTCCTAATCGTTTTTATGAGAATTTGGACCACATCAGGAAACAGTTATTATGTGTACGAATGTATCATAACCGCATGGATACATATCAGCTGTCTTCATGAAGCATACAGAGAGAGATCTAGATGCGTATATTTATAGAGAGAGATCTTTGGCTACATTGAAACAGCTATGTATTGGCCTTTTTGAACCTGTAATGCAAAGTTTTATCAATTGTTAAGGCACTGGTTGTTTCAAACGCAATTCTTGCATTGGCAACTAACCGGGCGATGCTTCGATACCACTAATTAATCAAGTTAACGCTTCTGTAACTTAAATCTTCTCTAGAAAATTGTCTTACCGAGAACTAAAAGTCCTTAGATATGAGTATATGATTTTGGATTCATATTTGTTTTTAAAAATTTATACAGGGGGAAAAGAATTAAAAGAGCATATCTCAAGATCTCAAAGTGGGGGCTGTTGACCCTCTTAAAAGAATCAAATTATTCCACCTCTCGCTTTCCACCGTCCGAATATAAATCACTGAATCAAAATTAAGCAGTACTTATCAGTTTTTTACCACCTTAATTAGTTGATAATCATAACTTCACCTCCTGGATAGACAGGTAATCATCACTAGTCATTTAGTCATAGTCACTCACTGCACTCGTTTAAACGTTTACTAAATTAGTAATAGTAATAATTAGAGAAATGTTAAGAAAACCAAGTTATTAATATTACCAAAAATAAAAGTAAAGTTGTTAAATTTCACATGTTATGTGACGATAAGTCAAACCATCCAATATACTTTCATTTTAATTATAAATATAATATATTTGTGATTAATTATTCTAATTGTTTGTAGTTAAAAAATACAATTAATTCTTCAAAATTTATAATTTATCATTTAATGAAAATTATAAAAATGAAAAGTTTAAAAATATATATATATATATATTGTTAAAAACATGGATTACTTTGCAATGAAAAATGTATATATATTACATTACTAGACTTATATTTTATGTTTCATACGATTAATTATAATAATATTTCTTAGAAATTACTATAAATAATAATATATCTTAGGAATTACTATAATAGAGTACAAAAAACATTTGGTGCTGTTATTCTAAATATTTATTAATATGCACATAATACAAATTCAGTATTTTTGAGTGAATGTACAAAATTAAAAAGGTAAGATTATAGTAAAAGGTAGATGATTGAAAACATTTTTTTTTCCACAATAGAAATTATTTTCTCTGTTTTAAAAAAAAATATATGTTTTGATTTTCAAACTGTTAAAAACAAATTTGATTAAACTATATTATTTTGTGATTAACTATTTTATAACTTTTATTTCATAAAATTTGATAAACACAATTATTATTTGAAATTTATAAGTTATAATCATTATATAATAAATTTTGTATTAAAATACTAAAAATATTTTTAAAATAAATAATTTATTAAACATAATTTTTTGAAATGTATTGGTACTGAACAATAAAATTACTATCCAAAAATAAAATTCTAAAATTTTATGAAACCGAGGTTTTGAGTTGTTCGACGCGTCCCATAGATTTCATGGTCCCCTTCTTCCATTGCCACCACTCATTTCTCTCGCACCTTCGTTTTTATTATATACACTAATTATACATTTTCATCATAGAATCATATTTTATAGTACTCCGTATAACCTAATTACTAAGCATGTTTTGATGCGGAGGGGCTCATCCTATTTATCATACGGTTTGTTAAATGGCAATTTGATTATTGATTCTCTCGCAACTGCTATTAGACATTACGTTTGTTTGCATGCATTTAATACTACTGGTATAATCTGCTTGCCATAATTTCATAACGCTTTAAGTCGATATAAACCCATGTATTCCGAACTTTTTCTGTTGCAAATAGTTTGAAAACAAATGTTTTAACTTTACTACTTTAGCAAAGAAACAAAAATTATTCGAAGAAATCTATTCATCTTATAGAAAATATTATCATATGAACTTATATATTCGATGCATGTGCTGAATCAAAAACCAGAAACAATATGCATAAAAGTTATGCTACTACTTATGTACATTCAGTATCGGTAACAGAAATAAAGCAAATTATACTCTTAGCTTCTTTCTTGTCAACATACTCTTAGCTTCTTTTTTGTCAACATCTATATTATTAAAACTGAAGTACCTTTTGGTACTGTTTGGAAATAAGGATAACAAAATAAATGAAACATTGTTTGGAAACATGGATAGTAGATTAAGTATTTTTTTATTTGTACATTTAGCCATTGTATTTACAATAAATTAAATACTTTCCTTTTGTATTTCTTTTTATTTACAGATTATGTCATAGCATTTAAAATCAGTTTATGTTAATTCATTTCAATGATTTTTCTTTCTCTGTGATGAAAATAAAAACACAAACCGAAATATATAATATACATTATATAAAATAATTTTTAAATATAATATTACCTTATTTAATTTAGTCAAATATAAAATTGTGTGAGTTCAATTTAAAAAAAAATATCATAAAATTATTGATAATTCATAGAAAACTAATTTAAAAAAATATTTTTAGTATGTTGTTTTATTTTAAAATAAATTAACAAAAAAAACAACATGTTAGTATATGAATAGTACGATTACATCAAATTGCATCAAGTTATAAAATTTCTAATATACTACTATGTACAAATAAAAATTATTATTAAATATTTATATTATAAAATAATATATTTTACTTTATATGTAAATTACAAAGCATAAAAAGAGTTTTGTAAAAAACCAACGGTTTATGAATTTACGTTAAACACAAGTTAAATCAAACACCCGCACGGGGGTGCGGGTCAAGTTCTAGTACCAAATTAAAATAATTCTCCCTTTTATTGAGAGATCACTACGTCATTAAAATAATTCATCCTTTCGCATTCTATAACTCTTTATTATATGACTCTTATTATATCTACAATTTGCATATCAACTCATCTATTATATGGCATACCTTTTGAGATATCCGCCGCTAAATGGGTCCGAAATGCCACTTTCAAGTTTTGATTTATTTTAAATAAAACAAATTACGACTTCATTAAAATAGTCGCCAACGAATCTATCGTCGTACTACATAATCAATCTCGATCAAGTCACTAGTGCGGCAACTGTATGTATAATTTATGCAATACAAACAAGGTGCTGACCATTTTAATATACTAAGTAAGGTTTAACCAATTAATAAATACATTGTTGTGCTGCTACAATACAGTTTCATGTTGAAGAGTTTTTCTGTTAAGGAAAAATCAATTAATGGTTGAGATAAGTTTGTCTAGACTGATGATGACTTGCAAACATCACGGAGACCTATGTCCTAAAAAGAATTTTGTATGTGCTTGAAAATAAAAAGGATACATACAAAGAATCTCATCATTTCTGTTTATTCTTTCTTGGCAAATGTTGCAAAACGTAGAAAAAGGACACATAAACGGAATATAAAATGAATTGGGTGAATAAACAATGATACAACTATTAAGAAAATGAACGGGAGTATTAATCATTTTCTTAATTTTATTTTATTGTAGAAAACCCCATAAATTCAGCACCTTGAGGGAGGAAAATAGGGAAGAATCACCTATAAAAGTGAACACTAAAACCCAAATTATACAAATAAAATATAAACTAATTAAAACCCGACTAAAAACCCTAAACACACGATGACTCCTACTTTTATTAATCTTTTAGCAAAGGAAGGGACCAAATGTACGTTATTAATTAAATAGCACATTTGTGTTGATCGTTGGAATCTTTCAATATTTAATCTTCACCGTAAGACTGCAATGTCAATGTAAAATACCTTTTGAAAAGACCTCAAGAATTTTACCACCAAAAATACGTAAATAGTCTTTCATTCGGATGACATACACGAATTTGTTTAGAGGCGGCTTTGTTTTTGTTATGGAACCAGAGAAGTTTTAAGGCTCCATCCAAAGGACCATGTATAGAAATAAGGACATAACTTAGAGATAAAGATAACAATTTATATTAGGAGCCTCCTCGTTGTATATAAAGCCAACTATGTACATGAATAACACATACCATGTGGTCCATGTCTCTTCTCCTCTGCATATGGAGTTTAATATCATGTTTGGTAATGAAATACTCTCTGCAGCTGGAGTTTTATCGATGTCATTTGAGTCAGACTTCATGCATTTGATAAAACAATAATGGAAAAGATCGGCCTAGTTTGATTTTGAATGAAGTGAATTTCTTCATATACGTTTTTCATTTACTGTACTTTTTTATATTGCACTAAAATATAATGTATAGAGGCACCTCATAACAAAAGAAATCCAAGCATCAAACTCTATTATCCATGTAAATTCTTAAGAGCACCATTAACCCTAAACTTTTGTTGGGGTGTTTTTTTTTCTTTCTTTTTTCTGTTAAAAGAAAACTAAAAAAAAGTCAATTGCAAACTCCAATGTGTTAGTGAAGCCCGCAAATTGTAAAAACAACCCACATAATTCGACGCTAATCTGAGAGCATCGAGCAGCGGTTGTAACATTTTGGTTAACCTAATATAAATTGTTATCTTTATCTCTAAGTTATGTCCTTATCTCTAAGTTATGCCCCCTTAAAAATGCTCAACTTTTTATCATGTTTAAAGGTTAACCTATTTGAATCAGTTTAATGAAGTATAATTTTTGTTCTTATTGTATTTTGGCTCTCCCTACCTAGTCATTTAACTGAATTTAAAAGCATTTCCGATGTATAAACTTGCAGTCTATGTAACTGTAATATATTAAGGTGATGTTTGTTTGCACTAGTTTTTATTTTTAGTTCTTAATTTTTAGATTATGATTTTAGATTTTTGATTTTGGTTTTTGAAATTAGCTTTTTATTTTTGGTTTTCATCTTTTGGTTTTAGTTTTTAGATTTGATTTTGGTTTTTGGTTTTGCTATATTTTAATTTTTTTTTAATAAATAAGTAATACATTATTTTAAATAATACAAAAAATTGAAATAAACATTTAAAAGCTACTATTAAAATATATGATTTTATTTAATAACAAAAAATATATTAACATGTTTTAATTAATATATTTTTAAGAAACTTACATTATACTAAATTATAAATCATAATATAACTATAAATTATCCAATATTTAAAATATTAAAATTTGGAAATTATTTATAATATTTGTTGTATATAATTTAAATTATAAAATTTGAAAGGCATTTTTTATTTTTCAAATTAATAAAATATATTTTATTAATGAAATTTATCTTTATAACTTTTTTTGTTTAATAATTACTGCTTAAATGATATATTTTTGTACCAAAATTTATTAGACTTTTATCTTTATAAAGTATTGTTATTTAATTATTAGCTAATTAAAACGTACCATTTTTTAATAAAAAGGAAAAAACGTTTTTATTGTTAAAAACTAACAAAAATGATTTTTTTGGTTTCTATTTATAAATTGATTAAAATTTTTTTAAAAATGAGTTTCCTTAAATTTTAGAGAATATATTTACTAAAAAAACTTGATTGGCAAAAAAATGATTTTTACAAAAGCCAAAAAAAAAACAAAAATAAAGTAACATGTTAATTGTTTACTTCATTTTTTTCCAAACAATCATCACCTCAGTCCTAAGAGCAGTTAGCTTCATTTTTTCATCTTTTGAAGTTCTTCCAAAAAAGAAGCAACATGTTAATTGTTTACTTCATTTTTTTTCCAAAAATCAATACTCTAAATATGTTCTACTATAAATTTTATAATAAATTATCAATACCACCCACTTTTTCAAATTTACTAGTTTTACCTAATTATTTTGTTTTAACAATAATTCAAATAATTACTATTTATAATAAGTTAAATATTATTATATGCTACAATTATTACATACCATAAATAAATAAACAAAAATATATTTTTATTAAAAATACCATATATATATATATATATATATATATATATACAAGTAACTAACCAAAGTTTTCTGAAAAAATGAGTTTATTTTATTCTAAATTCTTCTAAATTGAACATAAAATTCTAAAAATATGGCTTTTTCATGTTATTTGTTATTAACATCTAGTTAGATGAAAATATTAATACAACCGTTGAAATTAATTGGGTGACAACAATATTTATAATTTTTAAAGTACAAAATAACAATAGTTATAGTTAAAGATTAGTTTATTAGCTTGTAAATAAGAAAACTCATCTTAAAAATGAAGAAACACTGTTCAATTCTCCAAAATTTGAAAAAATAAAGAAAAAAATGAAATATTATTCGAACAAAAAAATGAAGTAAATTAAAAAAAATGAAAAATGAAACACTATTAAATTAAACCATAGAAGAGTTGAAGTTATCAGTCTTTTGTAGTTCCTTACATTTTATTTGAGTAATAAATTTGAAATTTCATTAAAAAAAACCCGATGGAAGAGTTAATTAAAAACATATTTTGAAATGTTTAAAAAGGATCATAATAGATACCAACATTGAAAAACTTAAAGTTATATAATCATATAAATTCAAATACTAAGGCATTCAGGCTCATGATTGTAACGTTTCTATGTTATTATCTTGTGTTTGTATCCAACCATTAGAGATTTTATTCAAAGAAAGAATCAATTTTTCGAAAGACCCCAAAAAAATAGATGATGGAGTAGCTTCTACAATGAGGAACAAACGTATTACAATTTTCAATTTATTTATCAAGTGTAAGAAAGAAACAATTAATACACCCACAAAATAAGATAGATTCATGAAAAAATGCTGTCCAATATGTCTTATTTTCTTCAAAAACATTTCACCTCCACACTCTTTTTTTTTCATTTCATTTTCATATCTCAGCTTTTTTTCTTCTTCTTCTAGAAAATTTGAAAAATCAAAGAAAATTACTAATCATCTTTCCTCCTCAGTAGGAAACACTCATCATTGTACCCAACAATCACTTTCAATCCTCAGAATCAAAAACTCCAACTCCTTCCTTCTTCTTCTCACTCTTCTTCCATCTACACATATACATTTACACTCGGACAATATACACATACGACACGTATACATACACACACCTTCCACACTCTATATAACCTTTTCCCTCTCCTCCAACTCTCTCTCTCTCTCAATATCTTTCTGATCATTAACCACCAAAGCTCAGATCTTTGACAAAAATGGATCCGTCCTCTGCTACCTCAGTGAACGGATACTACTCATTTCTAAACAGATCAATGGATGATCTCGAGAGGGCTTACCTCTCAAACAACTTCATGTCCGTACACTTCTTACAGAGAGCTCTCTGTCTTCTCCGCACTTCTCACTCACACCTCACTCTCCTCGTTCAAAAGCTTCAGCTCCCTGTCGGCGACAAGTGGCTTGATGAGTATATGGACGAAAGCTCTAAGCTTTGGGAAGCTTGTCTCGTCATCAAAACCGCCGTTTCTTCAATTGAAAACTTCTCCTCCGCCGGAATTACAATCGCTTCGACCCTCGATGGACATTACCACCACCGTCGTCTCTCTCCTCAGCTTTCTCGTCAGGTGGGTCATCGGAAAAATTGAGTCTTTTTGTGTTTTTGGGATTAAAAATCGAAACTTTCAATGCTCTGTTTTGTTGTGTTAGTGATCAAATTCAAAACTTTTAATGCTCTGTTTTGTTGGTTTAGATGATCAAAAATCAAAATTTTTGCTCTGTTTTGTTGGTTTAGTGATTAAAATCAAAACTTTCAGTGCTCTGTTTTGTTGGTTTAGTGATAAAAATCAAAACTTTCAATGCTCTGTTTTGTGGGTTTAGGTGATCAAAATCATCAATGCTCTGTTTTGTTGGTTTAGTAATCAAAATCGAAGCTTTCAATGCTCTGTTTTGTTGGTTTAGTGATCAAAATCAAAACTTTCAATCTCTGTTTTGTTGGTTTAATGATCAAAATCAAAACTTTCAATGCTCTTTTTTATTGGGTTTAGGTGATAAAAATCAAAACTTTCAATGCTCTGTTTTGTATGGTATAGGTGATAAGGGCGATAACAGGGTGTAGGAGAGAAGCGATAGGGATAGAGGAAGAGAACAGAGCTTTAATGGAGAATCGAGTTCAAAGGTTTCCCTTTTGGTCGGAACAGACGGCGGCGATGGAGTCGTCGACGAAGTTACAGAACGGTTTCAGTGGTTTCCGCGGCGTACTCTACGCGACGAGGAACATGAGCTCACTTCTACTGATGTTTCTCATGAACGGTCTCGTCTACTGTTTCCCCGGCGACACAACGCTGCCACAAACGCAAACGCAAACGCAGAATCAAGTCGGCGGTTTTGTCGGAGCAATGGGGAGGTTGCAGCAGAGAGTGGCGGCTGAGGTGGGGAGGCTTGGGGTTAGGAAGGGGATGTTGATGCACGAGTACAGGAGGAGCAAGGCGGCGCTGGAGGAGCTGAAGGCGGAGCTTGAGAGGAGATTCTGCGGCGGCGGAGGAGGGGAAAGTGAAGAGGAGGGAGAGAGGGAGTTGAGAGAGAGAGTGGAGAATCTGAGAGGGTGTTTTGGTAATTTGAGGAATGGGACAGAGAGTATAGTGGCGCAAATCGATGATTTGTTTGATGAAATTGTTGAAGGCAGAAAGAAGCTTTTGGATTTTTGCAGCCATAGATGAGTATCAAAAGCTGACATTTTTTTCAGTTTATAAAATAAGCAAAAAGGAAAAAAAATTAGAGTAGACTTAGCTTAGCCGAATCATTTGGTAGGAGTTGTTGTAACTCTTTTCTCTTTTGCTGCTATGAAAAGAAAATTTTTAATTTTTTTGTTTGTCAGTCTGCTCTATTTTTTTATGTTTATATAATTCTAGAAATAGAATTTATTCTCTGAATCATATCTTAAAGTAAATGTCTGCTTTTCAGTTTTGGTTCCAGTCCGTTGCAGATGTTTGTTGTTCAATAAAATTTTAAAACAATTTTTTATAAAATGTAATGTCGGCCTTAGAAATTTCAATACATGGAGTTCAAATCTGAATGTCATTCTAGATAATCTAGCAATGATCTAATGTTTAATACCCAACGTTGAGACATTGTTTTCTATGAATTAATGGGTAAATATTAGATTTGCCTGGGGTATGTGGAGTTTATAATAGCAACAGATTTTCAATGTTCTTTAATTTTGAATTTTCATATTAAAGTATATGAAAACTTTAACTGAATAACACAAAATTTTCAAATATTTTAAGCATGATTTACAAATACCATGTTGTGGTTAGAATTACAGCAGTCATGTCTCAAAGTGAAATTTAGTGAAATACTTTGATCAGCCACCATCACTTATAGGATTATATATCATTGGACTATGACCATTTTTCAATAAAATTGGTTAAAAAAATGAGGGAGTCAAAGGGGAGTGCTTGTGGCCAATGATCAAAACTGGAAATCTCATTTGATTTGATTCACATAGGAGAAAGTAGAGAGAAGATATTCATTTGAACAGTGGTTTTCTGGTGTTAATCAAAAATAATGATGGGAATGTATCCTTTGTAAAGCAGATTTGTCTTTTGATTCTTTGGCACTCTCCTCTAAGTTTATATGCTTTGAACACACCATTTGGTGGCTTTTATGTCAATAATTATAATTATTACCAAATTCACACCCTCATCCTCCCCCACTCACTGTTTCAAGGCACTCCATCTTTGCTTCTTCAAGTTTCTAATACTTATTTTAATATTTGCTTTACACACAAATTACTCATCTTTGCTTTCTCCTTTTTCTACCCCAAAGAACATCTTTGACAAAATATTCATTTTGTAACTGTGAGTAAATCTCAACCCTCGAGAATCACTTGGTACATGTGTATCAATCAAGTACCTAAAGTGCCAAATTCCCATTACTGTTAGCTCTCTTAATCCTTGAGTTTCCAAAAGTAAAAGTTGAACCCACTAGAAATGTTTTGTTGAAATATAAAAAATGAGTCTTAAAGACATTTCATCTTGTACATATCTACAAAATTGTTCAACTATCAACTATATATGCCATAATTACAATCATCTCAAAAATCAAACTTCACGAAGTGCACACACAACACAAAAGAATCCACACATGAAATTTGTAAATCCAAACGGATTTTAGTCAAGAATTTTTTTTACTATATAAAAAAACAAGTTTGGCCTCTGTAAGCTTACTATAGCCCTAAGAACATCATCAAGAGAGGTATTCCTTTTTCCTCTTGACTTTATAATTTTTGTATTTGCCTCTTTGGCCTTCTATATTCATCCATCAAACAAATTATAGGGCTCGTCTAAAATCATTCAATACAAGTACAAAATATGGAAGTGAATATAATAATATAATATTATAGATAAAGAGAGAAGTCACTATCAAAACCAAATAAAACTACAGAGAATCTACTTGAATGCTTTTTGAGACTCTCACCAGAATTCCATGCTTTGCCTCCCAAGTAGGACACAGATTTTCTCAGCTGATCTACCAAATAACATTACCATTTACCAAATGCACAATGATAATAACAAAAAAAGATCATTACAAATAATCAAGTTCTGTATTATTCCTTTTGTCACAGTTTCTTTTTTCTTTCTTCAGAATGTAATGATTTTCCCCGAAGGTAAAAAGCAATGATTGAAGTCAGAAGCAAGTTTTTTACCTCTGGTTACAGAAATTATTTGTGTTCCCCAACACATTCACAGTCCTGAAATTACATTATTCCCTTTTCTAAAAAAGAATTTAAACTGCATTACAGCTAATTCTCCAAAACTTATTTATATTTTTTCCTCTTCTACTATTACTACTTGAAAAGAACATAAAGGGACACACTAATACCCAACACACCCCCAATGTCTATGTACACAAACCTTGAAGAATTACAACCATAGCAATACAGGGAAGTTTATTTTTCCCCACAAATCTTGAATGTAAATTGTTGATACTATAAAATAGAGAAATGTGTGCGTGGATTAAGATTACCATGGCAAAAAATGAGCTACCAAATACTTAAGGCTGACTAAAATCTCAAACGCATGCATTGCAAACTGAGAAGCAAAAGCCTCTACTTGGTTCCGAAGCTCTGCAATGTCTTTACAGTGATAGATGATTTTGAGTGGTTCCTTCTGCAACTTCCCATGCTCCCTTAGTGCAGCACTTGCTATCTGAGCAGCTCTATAAAGAATTAAACTCAGCCATTGTCTCAAAATCTGGTTCTTGACAACCTCTTGAGGTCATATATAGCAGGACTACCTGAGACAGAAAATACATGAGCCTATGTCAAGAAGCAGGAAACAAGAAAAAACACTTGTTCTATTCTAATTTCAGAATCCATAGTGTTGAGGTTTTCTCGAGTAATTGATTTGCTTTACTTATTCTAACTCCTCCATGAGAAATAACACCATTTTCACTGAAAATGGCTACTTTGTTGACCGTGATATGGCACATCTCGCATACTTTCTCATACATCTTGCCTGAAAATTACAACTACAAGAATATGAGTAACGTCAGGGAAGTGACTCTTTGATTTTGGGAAACTAATAAGAGAAACTAATAACATACCTGTCAAGCCTAAAGGAGTCAGGTCCCAAAGAAGCAAATGATAATCAGTGCCACCTGTTACCAACTTGTAATTTTTGCTTATCAAAGCAGATGCTAAAAGCCTTAGCGTTTTTCTTGACCTGTCTCATATACAACTTGTACTCTGGTGAAGCGGCTTGCTTGAGAGCAATAGCTAAAGCAACTATATGGTTATTATGAGGTCCTCCTTGCAGCGATGGGAAGACAGAAAAGTTTATTTGATTATTCCTCTCATTGTGATTAAGATCAATTCTTTGCTTCTTAATCTTTAACCCTCAAACAGCTCCACATTTATCTGCAATATATAAACCTAAACCTAGGAAACTCCCAGTCTCTCGGATAAGAACTCCCTCCACAGATAGTATATTGGGAAGATAGTCAAGCGCCTTCTCCTCAAGCTTCTCGTAATCAATATAACCTGTACGAGGATCCCACACCTTATAAGGAAAACTCTCAAAGAAGATAGACGCACCAGAGACTTTCTTCCCACCAGGTGTGTAATATCTATGACTCATATGACCACCTGAAGGAGAATCCAACCCCATAATCTTCTCACCAGGCAACAAAATCCCAGCGAAAACAGCGAAATTTGCGGAAGTGCACAAGTAAGGCTGCACGTTAACTCCTCATTGATCATGGTGAACTCCAAAAGCTTGCAAGGCACGTTCTTGGCAGAGAAGCTCAATCTGATCAATGTACTGGTTCCATGTGTAGTATCTTCCCCCAGGGATGCCTTCTGAGTATTTGTTAGTTAAATGACTTCCTAAGGCTTCCATTACAGCTCTACAGACGAAATTCTCGGAAGCTATTGTTCGATTCCTCTGAACTGTTTTTGTTTCTCATTTTCCATGTATTCGTGAATCTCAGGATCTGCCTCTTGGAGACGTTTGTTACCCCAGCAGAGCCGGTCCTGAGATTTTGGGAGCATATTGCTATTTCTATGTAAAAAAATTTTTGGGAGCCTAAAATTTTTTTTTTGGACTTATAGTTATGTAATTTTCTTCAAAATTTTTGGGGACCTGTGGCAAATGTTTCATTTAGCATGTCCCAAGGCCGGTCCTGCCCCCTAGGATTTTACGAGGTTGAGCTGCTGCTTCGTTTTAGCTTCATTGGGTGACCTAAGAGAAGCTGTTTAATCAATCAAGCCCACATTAGCTTCAAATGTTGCCCACATTAGCCATCAATCAATCAATGATTAGCACAAATGATCTTGAATCTGGTTAATGACGTACACAATAACATCGGAAGGCTGTCGAATATGTGATATACAGAAACTTTTTTTTTTGTTATGACAACAACTCATCTCCATTAATTTCGGTGATGTGTGGACGATAAGCCTTAATAAGAAGTTTTGGTATTGTGTTACTGGAATGGTTGGATCAAGCATGGTCATGAAATACACTATCAACTCCTAAAAACATGTGTCAAGTAAAAGACTGAGTTTACAAGATTGTTACTTATTGATATTCAGGATCGTGGGAAGTTTTATAAAGGGAGAAGTTAACAGGAACGTTCATGAGCATTGTGCTGATTATAACCCCTTACTAAATTGTCTATAGTTTCCAAACTCCGAATTTCATTTCTTTGGAATTTCTGTTTTTTTTTTTTCATTTTCTTTGAACGTCACACGATGAACGTTTACACTAATTTCGTTACGGAACTTAATAGGAACGTTCATGAGCATTGTGCTGAATATTGACTTGCGTTATACGCAAACGTACGTACTAAATCTAACAACTTCAAAGTCAGGCGTAACTTTTATGGGATAATCTACAAATAATCTTGTTTCATAAATTTAAATGAATTTTAATTAATTTAAATAATTATATTCGTAAAATTGATATTCCATATAAAGACAAAGGTTACTTATTAATAACAGTGTATAGTTCAACAAACCATTTAAGGTTATTGACTTAATTCACTTTGTTTTAAATTTTCAATTCTTTAAGCATGCAAATGATATAACTGGAAGTAAATCACCTGACATATTAGATAGTTTGAATTAAATAGTCAAACATGCATTAAATAAAGACTGTTACTTAAATTCCATTAAAATTATAACTCTTGGAAGTTTTATTGTGGTCTTCTCTCATTCTTGTCCCATTCTCTTGTCTCTTCACACCAATGAAGACCAAAGTCTCGAAGAAACTATCCCTAACATGGGTTTCGCTTCTATGCATCTCCTGCTTTTTTCTCGGAGCAATGTTCACCTCCAGGTTTCGTGATTTTTGATTGAGTGTTTGAGTACTGTTTCATTAAATTTTACCATTGTAAAATCATGTTTTCTTGCTTTTAGATATTAGATTGTTGTGCACAACAAAAAGATATTAGATTATTATTAATCAGTT